TTACAAGAATATTGATAATTTGTAGCCAAGATGAAATTAAAACTGAAGGGAAAAAAACGAGGTTACTAAATAGGCCGACATTTTTACATCTTAAAATACCAAAATAGCTTCAGACTTCATCGCCATCTTTTCCCTTTAGTGACTCAAGACAGGTGGAACAGGTGAAGTAGAGTTAATAGGAAGTCGGTAGAACGTCCCTGAGTCCACACAGCTCTTTTGGGTTTCTAACTCACGTTAGGGAAAGTAAAGGCGGCTGGGCATAGTGCTGACCAAACTATCTCTTCATATGCCGAGGTGACAGAAACAGGTGAACTCTACTTTACTTGCCCCATAGAGGGTCAGGTTTGAAAGGGGAACTTTAGTAGATAAAGCTACATCATGAAACGTAATGTAACATTAGATAAACTTGCAACAACCAAATAATACACACCTACTGTAAACAGTACACACTTAATGTAAACAAAACACCGCTAATGTAAACAATATATACCTACTGTAAACAATACACAGCTAATGTAAACAATACACACCTAATGTAAACAATGCACCTAATGTAAACAATACACACCTAATGTAAACAATACATCACATGTAAACAATACACACCTAATGTAAACAATACACACCTAATGTAAACAATACACCCCTACTGTAAACAAAACACCCCTACTGTAAACAATGCACAACTAATGTAAACAATTCACAACTAATGTAAACAATACACTACTGATGTAAACAATACACACCTAATGTAAACAATACACATCTAATGTAAACATTACACCCCTACTGTAAACAATACACAACTAATGTAAACAATACACAACTAATGTAAACAATACACAACTAATATAAACAATGCACAACTAATGTAAACAATGCACAACTAATGTAAATACCCCCTACCCCTCCACCGTGTCGTTATAAACGCATGATACGCTTTACATTTCACCTTTTTCGCAGCTTTTTATTGAGTTCATATGACACATTCACCTGACTGTAATTAGCCATTTCGACGTTCATTATCATCGCAATAAAGTTTTAATTACTTTTGAATTAAGTTCCGACTATAATTATTTCCCATTTGTGGTAAAATATTTGAATTTAGCTGTTTTAATGTCATGGCAACCAAGTGTAAACAATGGTTGCTAAGTAAAATTTACAGCGGTGAGATATTACAGCAAGCACATTATTATAAAAACAAAATGTTCATATTGTTAATTAACAAATCAAATCAGTGGAAACTAATTTAGATTATAATTATGAACAAGTATAAGTTCATATTTTAAAATTTATTTTTAATTTTTGTTTTCCTCATGGTTATTTGCCTCTAAGAATTTTATTTACTAAAAATATATTATAAGATGTAAATTTAAAGTATTTCCAATGCTCCCTTGGCTATATCTACTGATCGGGTTAGGCTTAGGCTTAACATCTTAATGGGCGAAATCGATTTGAAACAAACACACCGGGTTCATCGTTTAACTGTTGAGGCCTTATATCAAACAAATAACTCCTCAATCTAAGCTCTTTGTAAGAATATGAAAAAAAAAACATATTAAAAAAAAATTCTTTTTGGTTTCTTGACCGTCCGCGCTTTGTTTTTTCAAAACACTCTGATACACGGAACTGACAACTGCCGCAAAGGGAGCGAATCCTCTCCGATGATTATTCATGGTTTTAACCAACATCCTCTTCGCCAAGTCTGAAACCGCGCTCGTCTCTAATCGGATTTTATTCCGACTCGGTGTTTCACATAGCGTATAGCTAAGTGTGTGTGTGTTTGTGTGATGGGGGGAGGAATGGGAGGTAATTTTTCAAGTGACGCCGACGACATTTCGCCTGCATCTTGCAGACGTGGACCAAATTGGTTTTGCATTTGCCACTTTGGCTTCTCCGATGTTTAGATTTCAAATATTTTTTTTTCTTCTTCTGCTTTGAAAATCCTAAAAAGAAGAAGAAGGAAAAAAAAAGATTTTTATTTTCCGAAATTTTCTCATTTCCAGCCCCCAAAATAAATAAATAAAAATAAAAAAAGTAACAAAACTACGTTAGGAAATCGTAAGAGATTGAGGTTGGGGGTTGGGGGGGGGGGGGTGTTGAGATCTCTAAAAGTGAGAAGGATTATTTACATCCAGACGAACATGTCAGCCATGCTGAATTTTCTACACGTACCGAAGCGTCAGTGTTTCACATGGGGCAGACAACTCGACGCTGCCCATTGTAAATTTTACTGTCCCCTTTTCGAAGTTTTCATCCAGGAAGCTCTTTACACAAAAATGTTATTTATATTTTTTTTTCCTGAACAGGATGAAGCTTTCATTCATCAATAGCGCATTGATGAAACTGGAAAAATAAATCCGGGAATATTTTTGTTCGGATACTTTTGATGTTTTACACCGTGTATTTTTTTTACTGCTAGAATCTACGTAGAGTTGTTGATAAAGGTTGGACGCGATGTCGTAAAACGCGAACAAAATGTATTTCATGATCGTGTAAAATGTATTTGGTGTAAATACGGATGTAAGGGTTTTCGGTTCTTTTTCGTTTTAGGGTACCGATACGGATTGGGATTACGATGACCTCATATTAAGTAATCGACTATTTGATGATACAATTTTGTGAACAAAAAATAATAATAATAACAATTTGTTGTTTTTACTTTCTCGTATATACGAAGTATAGAGAAAGTATTGTAATCGTGCACAAAAATCACTTGAAATTTTAACAATTTTCACCGTATTACACCTCAGTCCTTCATCACATCCGAAGTATAGAGGACTTATTTTAATCGGGCAAAAATTATCAATCCAGATTTATCAAAATTAAGAGGTTTTATGCGTAATCCAGTCTGAAAAATTGGGCTTTGCAATTCTGTCCGTATGTCTGTGTGTCTGTCTGTCTGTCCGTGTGTAAACACGATAACTTGAGTACCGTTATAGCTAGGTTGATGAAATTTCATATATAAGTATTTTATCAAAATCGTAGATCCGTATCAACTTTTGAGCTATTTCCGATTACCGGAAGTGGTATTTTTTCTACTTTGAATTTTTCAAAAGCCTATAATTTGAGTACTATTTCAGATAGATAAATGATATTTCACATGTAAGTAAAAGATCTAATTCTCTACCTTCTGTTAAATTTTGAGTAATTTCCGTTGTTGTTTTATATAAGAATATTCGAGAAAGTTTAGGGGAGATCACTCCCAGTTTATTTGTATCTGTGCCTTTGTAGATTAGCCGTACCCAGATATAACGTGAGGACTATTAATGATACATTTCATAGGGTTTGGCTTATACTTCTGAATACACTAGAACAATGCATATTGACTTGTGTAGTAAAGTTCCCTTTTAAACCGGACTGTCCATGGGACAGGCGAAGTAGATTTCACCTGTTTCTGTGAACTCCGCATATGAAGAGATAGTGTGGTCAGCACTATGCCCAGCCGCCTTTACTTTCCCTAAAGTGAGTTAGATACCCATCGGAGCTTGGTGGACTCGGGGACGTTAACAGACTTGAACCCGAATTCGAACTCGAGACTTTCGGGTTAGCAGTTGTATTCTCTACCATTCGACCACGCCGTCGAAACCTATCTACCCACAGTATATCCAACAACACAACGCATTTTCCCAGTCGTCAATTTTTATTATTTTACATATCTCAATTTCGAAACTTTTGCATTTCTTTAAAAATTTATAAATGTAAAAAAATGAGTGATTTTTAAAAAGTATCTTTGATAACGAAGGCCCTTGTGAAACTATTCCAACTTATTTTTAGTAATGTCTACGTTATATAAATTAAACTTACATTTTGTTTTATTTCAATATCGGCCATACTACTTATACAGGCACGTAGTCACCGTATTTACAACGCCCATCGAAATCGGTATCGTGACTAGATATCACGGTATCGTGACACGATATCAAAGATCGCATCGATACCACAAGAGCTGACTTGAATACTAGTTTAGGCCTAGAACTTTGGTTTCACTTGCGCGTTAGGGCTAGGAAATTACGATACAGGTTAGTGTTACATTAGGCGTAGATAGGACAAGAATCGAACGTCTTTTAATAACGATACAGGTTTGTGTTACATTAGGCGTAGTTAGGACAAGAATCGAACGTCTTTTAATAACGATACAGGTTAGTGTTACATTAGGCGTAGTTAGGACAAGAATCGAACGTCTTTTAATAACGATACAGGTTAGTGTTACATTAGGCGTAGTTAGGACAAGAATCGAACATCTTTTAATAACGATACAGGTTTGTGTTACATTAGGCGTAGTTAGGACAAGAATCGAACGTCTTTTAATAACGATACAGGTTAGTGTTACGTTAGGCGTAGTTAGGACAAGAATCGAACGTCTTTTAATGACGGGCACGTGATGCTGTACGGCATACGCCGAGTAACCTATAAAGGTAATCAAACATTCGTGCGACGATCAGCCTATACTTATAATCTACACGAAACAGCCCCTTGCAATTATTTAAAAAAAAAACGCAACCTGCTATTAAAATCTGGCAAAAAAAAAATTAGAATCGACGAGTTACGCCTGGTTGGGCTAGGCAGCTCGCGCGAAGATAATCGTCTGCTAATCACGGCCTTTGGTTGTCTGCAGACTGTGGAAGACCTGAGCATTGCATTGATTCGTAGTATTTATCAGATCCATATTTTTTTAACAGCGGCGTAACTAGGAGGGGAGGAGGGGGGTACCGCCCCGGTTTAGAAATTAAATATAGATGAAACAAATGAGGTAGAGGTATTGAGAGCCCGGCTTCAGTGACGACGCCGGCGTTTTTCTTCTGGTGAAATTGATCTTAAACGATTTCAACACCAGGTATAAAATCTCATTTGAAGCGTTGAAAAAGTTGTTTCGGAATTTTTTAAGTCTAAAAAGATATTTTCGTGAGTTTTAAAAAAAATGTTAAATGACGAGTAATAATTTTTTTTAAATTTTTTTTTTAAATTTCAGAATGCGTGTCTTTAGGAATAAAGGATAATAACCAATTCACACATGATGCACAGCGGAAAGTTCAAGGTGAAGGACGCCCAGCGGACTGTCGTGATGTGCCAGATTTCGCTGGCGTGCCGCACGTAACCGGCAACACAATTTTTTTTTGTTTTTTCTTTTAAAAAAAAGGGAGATAATGAATTAGAAGACGCTTCTGACTTCTACTACATTAACCCTACCAACGCCATCTTTCATCGCCCGTCATCACCACCACCACCAACAACAACAACATTGTGACGATGGGCACCAAACTTCAACTCGACCACCGCCTCCACGGCCTTCTCCTGCTGCTCGTATGCCTGGTGCGCGGCGCCCTGACCTTGAACTTGGACGGCTCCCCGGGGTCCTACCTGAAGTACCCGCCATGGGACCCGTGCCTGAACGGGTCCCTGTCGTTCGAGTTCAAAACCAAAGAGCCCAATTCGCTGTTGTTGTACCTGAACAAAGGCGGGTTCATGTATTTTGAGATTAAAATGTACAAAGGCGGCATACGTCTCAGGCTTAATTTTGGTGACGGTACGCAGATTCTACGTGCTGGTAGGTGATTGTGTTCATGGTAGTTAGGATATTGTGTTCATAGAAATTAGGGTATTGTGTACATAGCAGTTAGTATGTTCATGGAAACTAAGATATCAATTAATCGTGCACAGCAGGGTATTTTGTTCATGGCAGTAAGGATGTTATGTACATAATAGTTAGGATAATATGTACATAGCAGTTAGGTTATTATGTTCATCATAACAGGATATTTTGTTCATGGTAGTTAGGATATTATGTATATAATAGGATATTATGTTCGTAGCAGCTAGGATATTAGGTAAATAGCAGTTAGGATATTATGTTCATAGAAATTAGGATATTATGCACATAATAGTTAGTATATTTTGTCCATAGTAATTAGGATATTATGTACATTTAGGGTATTATGTGCGACACAGGAAATTTTGCTTATATTAGTTAGGATAATGTGTCTCAATGTTACAGAGAAACTAGGATAATTTATGCCTATATATATATATATATATATATATATATATATATATATATATATATATATATATACATATATATATATATATATATATATATATATATATATATATATATATATATATATATATATATATATATATATATATATATATATATATATATATATATATTAGATATTATAATATGTTTATATTTATATCGAGAAAAGTTATAATAAAACGTTTACTCCTTCAACTATACAGATCAGTTGAGATTAATCTGAATATACATTTAAAGAGAAGATAGGATGTGTCCATATATAAACCAAATATAATGTGTACAGAGTTATATAGAGCAGATATGACAATGTAAACTTTAGTAAATATATAATACATAAAGTTAGTTTAACATGTGTATAGTTATAAAGAACAGTTAGTATAATACGAGCATTGTTATCTAAAGCAGTCAGGATAATATGCCCAAAGATTATTTAGCAGTTAGGATAATGTGTTCATAGTTTTACGTGGTGCTTCTAGCGTGTACTAAATACGATAAATGTAGGTAATTATATAGACTGCCTTAGACACTGGCTTGTTGAATCGCTGATAGCAGTGTGGAGCTTCCCATTAAAATAATTTTGTAACGTAAATGTAAGTTTTATTAACATTATAACTAGCTCAGTTTAAAGAATTGCCACCGCCGGTTTGCGTTTAAACAAAATTTCGCGTTATTAGTCATACTTTTTCGAATTCGTTTTTTTCCCTTTAGATAAAAAAATTATTCTTTTGTCTCTGTTAACATTAACACTGTCTGTTTTGTAGAGCAAGCTGTTATTAAAATAAAATTAAAAGAAAATATGAGTAATTTTTAAAAAAAGCTGTTATTATCGGTGATATTATTTAAGTTGTTAGATATGTTTTTGGTCTGTCTGTTAACTTCATAGTTCAGTATCAGGATCATATGTTCATAGTTTAGTATGACTGTATAAAGGAATACATAGACTTACATTACAACTGTACCAAAAATAAAGCCATAACCACATCACAGACATACAAGCACATCATACACATACACTATACAAATGCATTATACAAAAACATCATACAAGTACTGCATACAAATACTTTATATAAATACATTTTACAAATACATCATACAAATACTTCATACAAATACTTCATACAAACACTTCATACAAATGCATCATACTAATACATCATACAATTACATCATGCTAATACATCATACAAATACATCTATACCAATACAACCATACCATACAACAACTAAACTAAAAATACTGGCTTACACATATTTAATCCTTACTTTAAATACAGACAAATTACCATTTTACAAGGGCAAATAACTCCAGGGTTTCTTTCAGCTTTCAGACATTTTTCTTCGTGTGTTGGGGGGGGGGGCATTTGAAACTACGGGGATGAAGGGAGGGGGTCACTTGCAGTTTCTTGTGGTCGGAGCGGGCACTGGTCAAAGGTATATAATAAAAATAAAAATAATTCCTTAATACTTGGGGTACCACAGATTTGTGTGGTGTGTCTAGGGTTAAGTGTCGCATGACGGCGCCCACCCCTCTCCATGCCTGACCACAGCCGGATGCCTCCATGTAGATGGCTTGCCTAGGTCTCGAACACTTGGCCGTAGAAGTTCATCTAGGAACTCTTGCGCCCTGGCCACTGAAAGGTCATACACCCAGTGATGCCGTGTTAGCATCAGTTGTTTGATTTTGGAGCTCTTTGCATGAGTTGCTGTCCCTAGCTATCGAGCAACTTATGCCCGGGGGTTTGAACTTGGGATTTTTCTTCTTCGGTTTAGCAAAGTATATATTCTATATAAAATTATACTTCTGAAAATACGACCCGGGGGGGGGGGGGCAGTTGGACGTGATACCATTGGTAGGAGGGATGTGTTGAGCACTCCGGAGATATGTCTGAAAGAAGAAGGAACACTACACAACTTACACACACACACACACACACTTACACACACACACAACACCACACCACTTCTCACGACTCAGTCACACACACACACACACGCAACACCACACCACTTCTCACAACTCAGTCACACACACACACACACACTTCTCACAACTCAGTCACACACACACACACACACACTTCTCACAACTCAGTCACACACACACACACACTTCTCACAACTCAGTCACACACACACAACACCACACCACTTCTCACAACTCAGTCACACACACACACACACTTCTCACAACTCAGTCACACACACACACACTTCTCACAACTCAGTCACACACACACACACACTTCTCACAACTCAGTCACACACACACACACACACACACAACACCACACCACTTCTTACGACTCAGTCACACACACACACAACACCACACCACTTCTCACGACTCAGTCACACACACACACAACACCACACCACTTCTCACGACTCAGTCACACACACACACAACACCACACCACTTCTCACAACTCAGTCACACACACACACTTCTCACAACTCAGTCACACACACACACACACACACACTTCTCACAACTCAGTGACACACACACACACACAACACCACACCACTTCTCACAACTCAGTCACACACACACACTTCTCACAACTCAGTCACACACACACACAACACCACACCACTTCTCACAACTCAGTCACACACACACACACACAACACCACACCCCTTCTCACGACTCAGTCACACACACACACACAACACCACACCACTTCTTACGACTCAGTCACACACACACAACACCACACCCCTTCTCACGACTCAGTCACACACACACACACAACACCACACCACTTCTTACGACTCAGTCACACACACACACAACACCACACCACTTCTCACGACTCAGTCACACACACACACAACACCACACCACTTCTCACGACTCAGTCACACACACACACAACACCACACCACTTCTCACGACTCAGTCACACACACACACAACACCACACCACTTCTCACGACTCAGTCACACACACACACAACACCACACCACTTCTCACGACTCAGTCACACACACACACAACACCACACCACTTCTCACGACTCAGTCACACACACACACAACACCACACCGCTTCTCACAACTCAGTCACACACACACACACACTTCTCACAACTCAGTCACACACACACACACACACTTCTCACAACTCAGTCACACACACACACCACTTGTAACCCATGCATAACTTTCATGTCTTTATCTTCATTCTGATTTCTTGTTTACATTATATAATTCATCCTCCTTATTCTACCCCCCCCAACCCCCACCCCATCTCCTTACCCTCAGGTGAAGCCCTCAACAACGGCGAGTGGCACTCGGTCGAAGTTCGTCAAGACGGCGACAGCACCTTCCTGAAGGTGGACAACCTCGAGCAGCACAAGAAATCCAGCACCGCCCTGCAGGACTTCACCCCCTCCACCAGCACCAACGACACCTTCCTCTTCATCGGCGGCATCCCGCCTGAATACGACAGCAGAAAATTTCAATCCCTGGCGCTCAAGTCGGTGATATTCGAACCCCGGTTCACAGGGTCGATAAGGAACTTGTTTTACCGGACGTGCGGGGCCGAGGCGTTCCGGCCCCAGCCGTTGGAGTCGTACGGGGTGCTGAGCAAGGACATTGACCACTGCGAGCGGGGGAACCCTTGCCTGAACGGCGGGAAGTGTCTGACGACGGACAGCGGCGTGTACTGTGATTGTCAGAGCACGGAGTACAAGGGGGATCGCTGCGATATCCGTGAGTTGATTGGTTGCTTGGGTCTGGGGGGGGGGGGGGATATATCTAGATTCAGTGGCGTATTGGGAGGGGGGTTAAAAATACTACACACATTTATCTAGCCTACATACACACACACATTCACACCATGTATTTATAGGCCTATATATATATATATATATATATGTGTGTGTGTGTGTGTATATATGTATAAACATACACATACACACACACACACACACACACATATATATATATATATATATATATATATATATATATATATATATATATATATATATATATATATATATATATATATATATATATATATATATATATATATATATATATATATATATATATATATATATAAAAATACATATATATATAAACACACATACAAACACACACACACACATATATATATATATATATATATATATATATATATATATATATATATATATATATATATATATATATATATACATATATATATATATAAGTAAAGAGACCCAAACGCACACTAGCTGTAGCCTAACACAAAACAGCATTCATTTTGAGGGTCACTGGGGAGCTTAACCCTTTGATCCCTACGCCATTGAACTTGATACTTGTTTCTCAATTTTTATATTTTGATTGTATCTTGATACTTGTATATTAATATTTGAATCTTAAATAATATTTTTTCTTTCGTTGAAACCAAATTTTAATCCTGTACACCCCCCCCCCCCACCCCAACCCACCAATCCTCTTTGACCCAGACATTTTAGCGGCAGCAAATAAACCTGCATGTACAATTTACTTCAGCCCGCCATTGGCCACTTAGATGGGAAGATATAAAAATGTTTGAAAATTTGATTTATGAGAAGGATAGTGTCGGTCTATTGAACGGGCTTGGTAGAGTTGCCTCTATGTTGCCTCTATACTGTATTTTGGTAGAGTCGCCTCTATATCTGTGTTTTGGTAGAGTCGCCTCTATACTGTGTTTTGGTAGAATCGCTTCTATGTTGCCCCTATAGCCTAGCCTGTCCCACAGCGTGTTTGCAGTGCTCCATTTAAAGAATTCCAGACCCATCCACGGGCGCCGTGTAGCGACATCCCCCCCCTCCCACTCCATTACGTAATATCTATCTCACTTCACCTTCCTGTTGATCCAAAACATGACCCCCCCCACCACCCCCACCCCCAACGCTATCTTCTCACTTTCCTTACTTTCCCCGTCATGCATTAGGCTGTTATCCCTGACACCCCCACCCCCCACCCCCACCCCCAACGCTATCGTCTCACTTTCCTTACTTTCCCCGTCATGCATTAGGCTGTTATCCCTGACACCCCCCCCCCCCGCCCCTTTCCCAACACAATCAACGAAATGAGCCAAACCCGCGTTAAAAGCTAACCTTTAACGGCCTTCTAGACGTGGGGGGGGGGGGGGTCCCCGGGGGTTGGGGTGGGTATTGTGTAATAAAAATATGATTTTAATAGCGGCATCGCGGCGCTGTGTCTGTCCTGAGAAAATTTTCATTACGGTTTATTGTGTTTACCTTCCCTTGGGGGCGTCTGCTGGTTTAATTAACCGGCGGCCATTTCAAGGTTTAACGGCAGCCGTTTTCTGGTTCAACGGGAAGCCATTTTTTTTAACGGACATCTATTTTCTGGTTTATCTCTCGGACATTTTTTTGGTTTAACTGTCGGCCATTTTCTGGTTTAACGGACAGCCATTTTCTAGGTTAACATGTAGCCCTTTTCAAGGTTTAACTGGCAGCCATTTTCTGGTTAAACGGACAGTCATTTTCTATTTTAACGCAAAGCCCTTTTCAAGGTTTAACTGGCAGCTATTTTCTGGTTTAACGGGAATCCATATTGTGCTTAAAAATGCAGCCGTTTTGTGGTTGAACGTGTAGCTATTTTAAGGTTTAACTGACAAGCATTTTCTAGTTTAACCGGCAGCCCTTTTAAGGCTAAACGGATAGCTATTTTCTAGTTTAACTGTCGGCCATTTTTTGGTTTATCTGTCTGCCATTTTTTTTTGTTTAACATGCCACAAATTGCTGATTTAGCATAAAAACTTAAACATCTGTTCATGTCTTGCCTTGATGTTTGAAGGGCCCAGATAACAACATCCGTGATTCTGTGACTCGCTACATGTTTAATTCCATCAGCTTCGCACAACGGCTGTTTTAACTATTTGATACTTACAGTCTCTGTACGTCGTTATGTTGGTACGATCATTCAGTTTTCAGGGGCTAACTAGGGTGCGGTAATATGGTGATTGTGGGCTAACTATGAATGGTACGTCATTTGGTGTTTGTGGGCTTACTTAGGTATATTTTTGTTGGCTAACTTAGGTATATTTTTGTGGGCTAACTTAGGTATATTTTTGTGGGCTAAGGTATATTTTTGTTGGCTAACTTAGGTATATTTTTGTGGGCTAACTTAGGTATATATTTGTGGGCTAAGGTATATTTTTGTGGGCTAACTTAGGTATATTTTTGTGGGCTAACTTAGGTATATATTTGTGGGCTAAGGTATATTTTTGTGGGCTAACTGAGGTATATTTTTGTGGGCTAACTTAGGTATATTTTTGTGGGTTTACTTGTGTATATTTTTGTGGGCTTACCTGGGTATATTTTCATGGGCTACCTTTGGTAAGATAATTTAACTGTCACAGTCAAGTATACACGATAGTTTGTGGCTATTTTTAAAAAATGAATATAAAACCCGAAATACAAAGGAATAATTTCAAACCGATT